TTGGTGACCCCCCCCCCCCCCCCCCAGGATTTTTAATAAATAATAAATGGAAAATAGAAACTCAAAATGATAGACTAGAATAAAAAATAAAAAATTTTGTAACATTATAAATGTCTTTCCTTCTCACTTTGGATTAATTCAATGTGTCCCCAACAAATAATAGTATTAATTTCTTTTAAAAATTTAAAAATTATATTACATGACATTGCATTACATTATATTGTATATTTGTGGAGTTTGAGATAATATAACTGAACTTTCTCTCTTTTATGTCCTCAGTATTGGCCTGCTGATGAGACGTGTGTTTATGATGCGGACTGTCAGCATGGTCTTCCAGAGCTCACTTCTGCAAACAATGAGATCATCAAATCACAATGGCAAAAATGTATTTGGTGCTTATGTGACAATTGGAGAAAGTTGTTTATTATAAAGTTATTTTTATATTTTAACATAATTTTTTTAATATATATATTTATTTTTTTATAGATAATATTTATGTATAAGCAAATATTATGCAAATATAATTATCTATATATCTGATATTAGCTGATATCGTGTTTGGTCTCGTTCTGTATCGCGTATCTTGTCAGTGTCTGCGCTTGCTTGGCTATTTGTTGTGGAAAAATAAGGAAAGTGTGTCCAGCTGAAATAATTTAGTATTTTGTTAGACGGGTATAAAAAAGTAAAGAAATACTCTTTGAGAGAAGCAGTCTTTATCATTGGAAGTTAAAAGCAGCTCATAAGTGTATTTACTCGTCTCATTAGTGTTTAGTGCAATTGTCGCTGCTAGGAAACGCTTGTTTTGTTTACTGTGTGGAGACGTGCTGATATCGCGTTTTGTCTCGTTCTGTATCGCGTATCTTGTCAGTGTCTGCGCTTGCTTGGCTATTTGTTGTGGAAAAATAAGGAAAGTGTGTCCAGCTGAAATAATTTAGTATTTTGTTAGACGGGTATAAAAAAGCTTAGTTTACTGCGGCAGCCGTCGCGTGACGGCCTCCTCGTGTGAAGACCGAGGAGTGTAAAGACCATCGACTCTACCGTGCGACTCCACCGGGCAGGGACAACGGCAAAGGATAAGTATCGCTTTTTATTTCTCCTCTTTCCTACTTCTCGTTTCACTTCTGTTTCAGTTTTTATAACCATTTCTTACTATGTGTAAGTAAGTTGTTGTTTTTTAGCATGTATGTTTGACAGTGTTATTTTTTAGGATTACTGAGAAACTACTGTCGTTTGATTTGTATTATTTGTATTTGTTATTTATTTAAATTTTAGTTCAATTATGTCTAAATTGATTATGTCTGTATAGGTCTTTTATTAAGTTTTAGTTTTATTTCATTTTAGTTATTTTAATACTTCAACAAACTAAATGGAAATTAAATAATATATATATTGAATCTTTTGCATGTTCACTGAAAGACCTAGGTGAGTTAAATGGGCGAGGAGCTTACGTTTGTGCTCCTCTAGCACCGTTCGGGACTGAGCGATGATGAGCCAGTCGTCGAGGTTCAGCATGCACATTCCGCATAGTCTCAGGGGAGAAAGCACTGCGTTCATGCACATCATGAAAGTGCATGGTGCCAGAGCCAGGCCGAATGGCAGGACTTTGAATTGATAAGGAATGTCCTCGAAAGTAAATCTCAGAAAGTGCCTTAGATGAGGGGCTATCTGGATATGAAAGTAGGCATCTTTCAGGTCTACCGCTATAAAAGTCTACCACTATTCCCCCATCTTTTTTCGGGACTAAGAAGTAGCGGCTGTACAGCCCACACTCTCGCTGCTCGTTGGGCACTCTCTCTGGTTAGAAAAGACAGAATTTCTGCATGCAACTGCGGGGCACTCTACTCCAGCACCTCTGACATGATCACACTGCTGAAGTGGGATGGTCTGCGAGCTAAGTCCCCATAACGTAGCATCTTTGATGACCCTTGACGTAATGGCGACTTGGGATCGCATCGCAAGCTGGTGATTGGGGCAGAGGGGTGGCTTGAGTTTGAGGCTTGTCACTGTGCTGACAAAGACCTCAATCTCGTGCAGAATGGAGCATTGGCACGCTTACCGAAAAGACTCCAGGTCTGGCCCCTCCTCAACCAGGGACTTCAGGAGCCTCATCTGGAAAACCTGCAGGATCGCCATTGTGTGAAGGGCAGATGCTGCATGTCCAGCAGCAATGTATGCCTTCTCAGCAATGTGGGCTGTGGTTCTACATGGCTTAGAAGGCAGAGATACGGACTTCCATCCATGGGACGGACTTGCCGAAAAAGGGAGCTGGTCTTTGCGGGGCGCCTGACTGGCAGCCTGCCTTGAGATACGACCTGTCCATCCATTTCCTGGTTGGCTGCCATTGGCTATTTTGGTGCAATAATGGGATTCAATGAGGCTTCAGGAAAGTTTGGAGAAAGGGATTTCCCCTAGCGATTACACAATGTTGAGAGACCAACCTGAAAGGGAACAGAAGTAAAAACAACAGTCCAAAATATAGAAAATGGCACCACCACATCGCAACCATAAAAGCAATTAAACCAATATTACTTAAATAACTTAAATAAAACAAACAAACAAACAAAATGGTGAGATAAGAGAAAAGCTTGTTTTGTTTACTGTGTGGAGACATGCTGATATCGTGTTTGGTCTCGTTCTGTATCGCGTATCTTGTCAGTGTCTGCGCTTGCTTGGCCATTTGTTGTGAAAAAATAAGGAAAGTGTGTTCAAGCGCCAGCAGAAAATGGTGTAAAGAAATACTCTTTGAGAGAAGCAGTCTTTATCAGTGGAAGTTAAAAGCAGCTCATAAGTGTATTTACTCGTCTCATTAGTGTTTAGTGCAATTGTCGCTGCTAGGAAACGCTTGTTTTGTTTACTGTGTGGAGACGTGCTGATATCGCGTTTTGTCTCGTTCTGTATCGCGTATCTTGTCAGTGTCTGCGCTTGCTTGGCTATTTGTTGTGGAAAAATAAGGAAAGTGTGTCCAGCTGAAATAATTTAGTATTTTGTTAGACGGGTATAAAAAAGCTTAGTTTACTGCGGCAGCCGTCGCGTGACGGCCTCCTCGTGTGAAGACCGAGGAGTGTAAAGACCATCGACTCTACCGTGCGACTCCACCGGGCAGGGACAACGGCAAAGGATAAGTATCGCTTTTTATTTCTCCTCTTTCCTACTTCTCGTTTCACTTCTGTTTCAGTTTTTATAACCATTTCTTACTATGTGTAAGTAAGTTGTTGTTTTTTAGCATGTATGTTTGACAGTGTTATTTTTTAGGATTACTGAGAAACTACTGTCGTTTGATTTGTATTATTTGTATTTGTTATTTATTTAAATTTTAGTTCAATTATGTCTAAATTGATTATGTCTGTATAGGTCTTTTATTAAGTTTTAGTTTTATTTCATTTTAGTTATTTTAATACTTCAACAAACTAAATGGAAATTAAATAATATATATATTGAATTTATAAATGTGTATGTATGTGCTTTAGTTTGTTTATATGAAGAGATTTCTTTTATTTGTGTTACTTATTTATTTGATTTGGGGCTTGTTTTAAAATTTCAATGTAGTTTTGTTATTTACATTTACATTATATTTAAATTTTGTTATTTAGCAGACGCTTTTTTCCAAAGCGACTTACAAATGAGGACAATAGAAGCAATCAAAACCAACAAAAGAGCAATAATTTACTATTTACTATATATTATTATAGTGTTATATTTCAATTTCACAAAGAAATGTGCAGCATTTTGTCCAAGCAATAATAAAAGGACACATTTAATTTATAATTTGTCTTAAATCTCATTTTGTTATAAAATAAATAAATAAATCGTGATTCGAATCGTGAGTTGAGTGAATCGTTACTTCCCTAACATGTAGTTTTTTTTGTTTGTTATGTTAGAATCATTATTATACTCCTATACCTTTTGTTCTTTAATATTTTGAATTGTTTTTAGCTTTATTTTTTGTTTTTCAGTTAAATATTACATTTAGAAATTTTGTTGCATGCATTTGCAATTTGTATTTAATTTCTTTATTTTTAAAATGTTTATAAGTAGTATTTATAAAGTTTTAGCTTTTAGTTTTGGATCTGTTTTTAGTTGTTTTAAAACTACAAATGATTGCTTCTGTTGTCCTCATTTGTAAGTCGCTTTGGATAAAAGCATCTGCTAAATGACTAAATAAATAAATAAATAATTGCTGAACCCAACAATTGTTTTTTCTTTCACTAGAAAGGGGGGGAAATGGTCAGATTAGTCACAAATTGAGTCTGTTCATAGACTTGGTTTCATTTCATCGGCTGCTCAAGGCTGTTTATTTGTTGCCTTAGGTGTCTGTTTTAATATAAAAACCAAGTACCAGAGGCTGATATCATACATTCAGTACATTCAGTACTGATCCAGCCTCAGATCAGTGTGTTCTCTTTTCTGAAAAATTTTCTTGAAATTTTATTCCATGAATCTTCTGTAAGACTCCTGTAGATCTGTTCTGATGACTGTCTTTATAGTCCTAGTGCTTGGATTCAGCAGAATTCAAGACACATTTTATGCATGAGCTCTATAGAAGTGATCATACAGAAGTTATGTCAAACACACTCTCTTCACGGTTCAACTTGCATAAGTGGATTTGCGTTTCTGTTTCTGTCTGCTGAGGCCAATGCTATTTTACCTTGAGTATTCTCACGGCTCACTTTGATAAATGAATAAACCCATATTCAAACCCTCTGCCTGTTTCTTTTTTTTTCCTGTCTCTTTCTCTCACAGGTGCTTTGAATGTTTATTTAATGAAAATGAGAAAAGGAAATGGGGAAACTCTTGCGTTTTAACTGTTTTACTCAGTATTTTTTGCCACTGTATTACTTCTTCCCCAGGATGTCGTGGCTTTTTAGTCGAGTTGTTTTTGTCAGCGAGCTTCTGTTTGACAACTCCCTCATCTCTCTGTCTTTCTTATTCTCTCTCTCCCCGTCTCTCTTTCTGCTGCTCTCCCAAACAAAATGGAACAAAAAAATAATGATGAAGTTCTGCAGAAAATATTTTTCAATATTGTATGAGGCTGGATGCCTCAGAAGAGCTGATTTTCCTTCCTGTGGTTCCTGGATAAGTAATGGAGAAGTCTTGTTAGGCAGAACTAAACATTTCCAGTGAATAATTCAGATGGAGCTGGATGTGAAAGCTTCGTGATTTTTTTTTGTTTTGTTTTTTGGCAAATGAGCTTCTGGTAATAATTGATTTGAAGCATTAATGATAGACTGTCTGTCTCATGCTCTAGGTGGGCGTAACTGTGAATTAAATAATCAACGTCAAAAAGACTGATTTCTAAGCGTCAATTGGGGCATCATATAGAGTCAGATTTTAGTGTATGTTAAGTTAAACTGCTAGTAGTTTGACATGGTTCTGTCTGCATAAATAATAGTCTGGGAGAGCACAGTGTAATAACTAGCATGTAAAGTCCTGTTCCTTCTAACACGGGTATGACAGTGATGAGTAGAAGTAAGCCCAAGAACACATTATAAGACAAAAGTTTGTCACTCTGCAATCTTTTTTGACTCCTTTTTTGCTTTACTTTTTACCATTTTTATTTACATTTTTCTTAGTTTTTTGGGGATCCTGCTTCCCACAGTGTTGTTCTTTTCTGGTACCTTTGCTGTCTTTCACAATTTTGTTGGCTGTTGCTCATTTCTGCTGTCTTGCCAGTCAGTACAGCATGCAAACCTGACGACCAGTCATACAGATTTCAAAACTGTTTGAAATTTGTCATACTGTTTGTTACAGCATGTCTCCCAGTGAGATACTTCATATGCATTTCAATAATTGTCTGCTTTGGGTTGGCTACCAAATTGGACAAAAGAAAGATACATTTGTCTGTGAGAGAATTATTGGTACCCCCAGCCCAGTCATTTACACCTCCAGATTTCAGAAATGGGTAGGAAAAATAATTTTGGACACTCTGTGACCATTCAGCTGGTCACTTCAGAGCACTGAGCACCAGAAAATCCAGCCACAAGAGCAGCTACTTACTACAGGCCATCGCTCTCATGAACAGCTGACACTGACAGATCTTCAGTGCAATATTTAAGACGTTGCATTTTTACTGGCAGTATGTAAATTCAAAGCCACAAATTCAAACTTGAGGACTGTCTGCAATAGGAACACGCTGTGAGTTGCTCATGATCTGAGGCTTTTTGACGCAGACCTAAAGCATGGGCAGTATGTAGGGAAGTATGTTATATTAATGTGGATTGTGTCTTCTTTCTCCCTCAGGTATTGCAGTGCTGAGTCTGAGTTTGCAGCATTTCATAGCTGGTCTCATCACCACTCTGACTTTCACCACAATGATGAACTGCACACAGAGAGCCGAGGAGAGCATACAGGTATCACATGCCACCCTCTTCAACTGACCGTAGCTCTTCATGCTCCCTGACAGATCAGAACAGACTGCTTAACGGCATCACACGTGTTCACCTAAGGTCAACAGCGTGACAAATCTATTGTGTTTTCTCTTCAGTTTTAGCAGTCAGGTTCTGAAGACAACAAAACATGCATCTCACAGTTTTTGATAGTTGTTGACAGGTAGAGTCTCACAACAGGCCGTGAACTGCAGAAAGCCTGAGAGTGTTTCCTGTCTGCCACATAAGTGAGCATATCACAACAGTCAAAAGCTAATTTATCTGTCAGTCAATAGCTCCATCAGAGATCTGAGCAGTTTTCACACTCTTTAGCTCTGCACGTCAACCCATTTCAGCTCATCAATCACCTACAAAGCATATGCATCAGAAAGTCTATTCTCATTCATAGATTTGACATTTGATTCTTTTTTTTATTATTATAGTTGGTCAAGATTATATCTTTGGTTGTAGCAGGAACCCAGTGGTTAGTTCACTAGCTCTGACACATTGAACTGTGGTGCTCATGTGGGCAATACCTACAAGTTTAAGACGATTTGTGTTATTTCTTGTGTCTGTTCCCTAGTTTTCAAAAATTTCTTCTCAGCAAAAAGTCTCAATAGTAACAGCTTGCACTGTTTCAGTAACGTGTTTGTACACTACCGTTGAAAGTTTGGGGTCAGTAAGATTTTTAAATAATGCTCTTGTGCTCACCAAGCCTGCATTTATTTGATCTGAAGTACAGTAAAACATTATATTATGAATATTATGAATTTTCAGCAGCCATTACTTCAGTCTTCAGTGTCCCCAAAACTTTGAATGTGTAGTATGGCTGTAAATGAATGAAGCTCTTTTTATTATAGGAATATTCATTGCAAGAGCTATTATCAAGTATTTATATTGGCCTTCAGTTTATGAGATGCCATGGTCTTGTGTGTGTGTGTGTGTGTGTTTGAACGTATGTATACAGTCAGGCAAGTAGTGCAGATTTTTCTTTCTTGTCCTGGCAACGTTTTTCTGACAGTGTCAGAAAATTATGAATTTATAATTTTTTTTTGTTTGTTTCAGAAATATATACTAATTTTCAATTTTGTTATTTAAAATTGCTGAGAATTTTACAGATATTTATACAGCTGTGGTGATTATGAAATCCATGCTGCAAATCTATAAACAAAGATTTTTGTTTATTTTTGTCTTGTGTTTTGTATGTGCATGGGAATAAAGCAGCAGATGCATTTCGCATGAGTGATTCTTGTACAGTATATAGTTTGCAAAACACATCTAATGCAAGGTGCATTAGGTGTGTTTTGCAAACTATATTCTGTCATTTTACTTTGTCAATGAACTAACAAGGTGCTTCTGTGTCACCATTACAGTGTAAAGACAGCTTATCTGTCTATCAATAAGGAGTGCATCCATACCAAATCTATTCTTCACAGCAATCAGCTTCCTATTTTGTCCCGCTAATCTTGTGTTTCCTAATTTCTCTCCTTGTTAGTTCATTTGTTCTTTCTCTCTATTTGTTTATTTATGTGTCCCCTAGATGATAAACTGTAGTTCTCACTGTTCACAGATAGCTCTCCCCTCCCATGTTCTCTCGTTTCATCCCCTCGTTCATCTTTGACATGATTGTATTGTCCTGTTTAAATGGGCCTGCGCTGCTTGCATGTGATCTTTCACTGCTCTCTCAGCTATTTGTCATTCAATCAGCTCAGTAGTGCTGAATTAATGGCACTAACTCATTAAACAATAAGAGTAGTGTATGTTTTCCCTTGGTCCCCAAGCAATGAATAATTCAGATTCACGTTCAGAGTGAAATAACCAGAAGGAGGATTGTAAACTATAGGTTCATTTGAAATGTTCCTATGACATACATACCGTAGCGAGAGCAGCTTGTGTGTGTTTGTTTTAAGGTGGTTTTAGCCGACCGAAAACTGATACTGTGAATGTTTGTGGAAAGGCCCTGGAGGGAGAAACTGAACACCTTAAACAAGTTTGTAGGAATAAAGGTACTTCACTTAACTTTAGTGGTGGGGCCATGTGAAGGAATGGTCTTGGCTTTGCTTTCCCAACCTGTGTGCTAAGTTGAAGGAGAAGAGTATGGAGACTGTCTCTGATGTCTAGACAGGAGAGAGGGATTCAGGATGCTCTTTGATCCTCCTGTTGGAATTGTTTTGATGTGAGGCAAAGTTAAAAATTGATAAATAAGAATGAAGTTAAAATGTCATCAGTTACATCATTGAAAAGTAACGCATGTGAAAAAGGTTAAAAGCAAACATTTCAGTTGTGCTCATACTCTGGTCACCTATGGCATTTTTTTTCCTGATCCCATCTTCCCCTCTTCTCCCTATTATTTCCTGTACTATCTCTGACTGTCATGTCCAATTAAGGCAAAAGGGCCATTTAAATTAGGAAAGCACAATGTATATTGGTTATCAGATGATATTAGAGAAGTTTTTAACTTGTTGCAAAATTGTATGTTTATATATATTTAAATATGTGTATTTTATTGTGCTTGCTCATTTCCCCTCTTCTTTCATTTAGTTAATTTTTATCATCATCCAACGCTGACTTAAAGTTGATCTATTTCTGTTTCTAAATAATTATATTTTAATTTTAATTTAATTTCAGTTAGTTGCTAAGGCATCATTTCTAATTTTTGTTTTTCATCTAATATTTAGATTTTATTTTATGTATGCTTCATTTCAGATAAAAAAATTTTTTTTATAGTTTTAATAACAAAACTTAACATTATTATGGTGTGATGTCTAAATTCACTTGTATTGTTTAGCATCAGTGATTTTAGTATTTGAATATTTTCTTTTTAAATTACTACCTTAAAATACTATAGAATTGTAATATGAGCTCTTTATCAGCCATAAGATGAAAAAATTAAATCAAATTTGGGTTACTGGCCAGATTTCTAAAATCGGTGCATCCTAATGTAAAGATCACTTGCATAATTAAGTGCAGGACCTTTGGATGATTTGAAAACATGTCATAATGTAGATTTCTGTGAATGAATGGCATGTTTCACGGGTAACACCTGAATCTAGCCTTACAGCAAAACACATTTCCCTTTCTTCCTTTATAATTTACTGTCCCTTTTTCATTGTTCTCGAGAAAATCCCACAAATCGTCAAAAGTTAATGCTAAACCTCTTTCTGTATTTCCCTCTCTCTCTCTCTCTCTCTCTCTCTCTCTCTCTCTCTCTCTCTCTCTCTCTCTCTCTCTCTCTCTCTCTCTCTCTCTCTGTCTCTCTCTGTCTCTCTCTCTCTCTCTGTCTCTGTCTCTGTCTCTGTTCAGGCCACCCACTACAGTTTTCTGGCCACTCTGGAGGTCCTGGGCAAATTGAGTTTTAGTGCCCTGGCTGGTGGTATGGTGGACACTGTGGGCTTTCCCATAGCCTTCATCCTTTTCCTCTTCCTCACCTCCAGCAGTGCCCTGCACGTGTGGAGGGCCACAGAGACTGGCATCCTGAAGGAGCAGCTCAAAGAGCAGCCACAGTGACCAGAGTTGTTTGCCTATGAGAGAGAGAGTGTATGGCTAGGTGAAGGATATGGAAATTGAATCTTATACTTTGCATAAAATATTGGTGACCAAATAGCCAGTGAAATTAATATGTTATTTTTATTTGTATTTATTTATGACTCAACCAGCATTGACGTTACAAGAGCCACACAAGCACTCTCATTGAAAGCCAGCACCTCTCTGAAAAACACTGCAACTTCTTAACAGCTACATTGCACCTCTACAGTTAACTAGCTTTAAAGGTACTTGCTTTTCAACAAGTCATCCTGAATGGCAAGCAGACTGAACTATGGCAACACTGTGAATATGTCATCTAGTCTGCTTGAAGGACAGCAGTCAATCATTTAAAAAAGAATCAATAACAAAATATGGATAATCTATAATGCTTGATATAATGGACAATGACAACTGTATTATTCAATATGATTTTACTGGTTATAAAAGATGAATAGCTTGTTTAAGGGTCTAGTCTAGTTTGGTTTAGTTACACACACCCTAGTCATTTACACATTTCCTTATATACAGCATGTATTCACCTTAGAAATGCCTTTAGTTTTTAATCTGATGCCTTCTGACACCTTAGATACATTTGCAGCAAATTCCATCAGCTTATTGACCAATCAGTAACATGCTACATTTTAAGGACTTGATTTTTGGAATCATGTAAATTTGGGAATAGTGTGAACACTGAATTATGGTACTATGCTTAGTGGAGTGCATTTTTGTATTCTCAATGCAATACTTGTATTAAAGGGGTCATATAATTGGGAAATGAATTTTCATATAGAGTTAAATATAAGTTAAGTGTATTACGAAAAAGCATTGTACCTTTTGACAATATTGTACATCCAACCCAGACTCCAATTTGGTGTTCAGCAACCAAAAAATATTAACTTAACTCCAAATGAATTAATGAAAAGAGTGAAATTTGTTAAAAACCTTGTGCTGTTCCTGGTTGTGGAGCAACTGAAAATCCTCATCCTTCCTAGAATTATTAGGAAATGTTAGAAAACTTCTCATTACACATGTCAACATGGTGTTTACATTTGCACGTCTTCATCAGAAATAGTCATAAAAAGAGTAGAAAGTGGTCATGACAAACTGATTTGATGCAGAAAACTTGACTAACATTGTAGGTGGACCTCAGGGAAAAAAATATTTTAAAAAGTATGATATGACCCCTTTAATGTCTGTTAAATACTGTACATTGTAACAGTTAAACTCATCAAGCTCATTTTTTTTGAGCCAGTACATGTATTTGTCTGAAATGTTTATGTTTTTGTATAATGCGTTGTCTGCATTTCCTATGCAATAACACAAATTTATTCATGGTTATTACATACAACTTTGCTAATAATTTGAAAAATGTTGTTTAAATAAAAACTTAAAAACTTTTATTATATATTTTTTATAATTTACTGCAGAGCCAAAACGTGGAGATATTGTTGAGACTATGTAAGCATATGTGTGGGATTTGCCATAACTAATGTGTTTAAGATGCCATGAAACAATAATTATTTATACAAATGTCAGTTTTGGATTGGAATAATAAATAAAAATATCATCCAATGAAACTGCAACTAGCCTATATAGTGCAGTCACAGTATATGTTTTCCATTCCTGTTGAAAGCTGAAAAAAATATACTTAATGCACTGTATTATAGTGTCATTTTGCTCTTGGTTTTATTTTTTTATTATTTTTTTTTGGGATTTGTTTTCTTAGAGAAATAGAACCAGACAGTCCCAATTAAATACTACATTTTAAAAAATGGTTAAAACTCATGACACTTTATGTGATAAATGGAAAAGTTGTGGCCAATTGATGTTTTTTTTTTTTTTCATTAAATTAAATCCTCTGATAAGCAAAGCTCTTACCAAACGAGAACCATTTTTGGAATTTTAGCTTGGACTACATGAGACTCAAAAATAAAAGCTATTACTGAACCCAGAGTGCGTCTGTGCTTTTATGAACTTATCAGACAAGAATTAAAAGTCTGTGTTATAAAGAGATCCTGTGCCATACCACTTACGCTTAGTCTTAAGAAAATCCAATATTGTCTTGTGTACATTTGTGTTTTACACACAGCTCTCTAGATGTAAAGAACAGTAAAACACTATCAACTCTGAAGTATTTCCCCATGTGGAGCCTGGAGACTTTTCCCCATAAGATGACGTAATAACTGTAGAATCGCATGCTATTGATGAGACTGAACCCTATCACTAGCTTTTACATGACACTGTATACTCTCCCTCACCGTGACAGAGAGATGATTCTTCCCGATCTGTCTGAGGGATTAGGAGTCCTTACGTAATTCATGAATAGACCTGCATTTCACCCTTTCACTGTGACATTATTTCCTGGGTGGTTTAGCCAGAGAGAAAACACAGGGAAGAAAGGAAGGGAATGTCTTCTTCACACTTCACTTTCACAAAACCACAAGAGACCAAGAACTGGTCAAACAGAGAGTGTGTATGTGTACATGCGCAGTTATAATCGAGCTACAGCGGTTTTTGCAGAGTCGTCAAAAGTATATTCAGAAGTATAGATTAAAGTATACATTTTCATAGAATGTAGTTTCTTCAGTTCTTAGCCAGATACAGGCTGTTGTTTGCTTTGAAGTACATTGCGATGGAGGATCTGGGCCCACAAATTTTACCTATATAGATATATATATATATATATATATATATATATATATATATATATATATATATATATATATATATATATATATATATATGTATATATGTATATATACTGTATATATATATAAATGTTTTTTATATATATATATATATGTATATATATATATATATATATGTATATATATGTATATACTGTATATATATATAAATGTTTTTTAAAGTAATGTACATTTAGAGCACTATACTTTGTGTTATATTACTATGGCATTAAATTACAGAAAACTAGTTAATGCTGCTGTGTGAGTGTTTCTAATACAATAGCTGAGGGAGTGACAGCAAATTTGACATCTTTGTCTCCTTTGACCAATGTAATCTCTTGATATTTTTCCCTCTTTTGTAAAGTCACCTTTTTTAAACTATTGGAGCAATTGGGAATGCAAAAAAAAAAAAAAACAAACAAACAAAAAAAAACATTTGTTGTAGTTTCCATTCTCCATTCACCACTAATGAAGTTTGCCCAACTATGACCACTTCCGCTTCTGAGGACCCTATAAATGTGAAAAGGGTCCATTCTGTGTCATGTCCTCTGTTTGATCACCCTGTCCTTCGGTTTTTGGGCTGTGTATCTGTCTACATGTTGTGAACACATGGTGTTTTGTTTTGATCGTTCACCATGTACTCTTCTGTGGCGTTCCTCCCTCCCTCTCGTTACCACCCTACTGCTCGTTATTGGTTGATTTCGCTCACCTGAATTCAATGTTCGGTTAATCTCCTGCTCTATTTATTTTCCCTCTTGTGTGTCGTCCAGTGCTAGATCGCTGTTCGCCAGTTCGCCAACACTCAGCCATCTGGTCTGGTCCTGTCTAGTCTGGTCTGTCCGCGCCATTGTCGGCTTCCTGTCAGGTTGTGGTTACTTCCATTCGTTTTGGTTTTTGTTTCTCTCTATTTTTTCTCCTGCCCCGTTTCCTAGACCGGGCGTCTGCATCCCCGCAGAAGTTTTTCGCCCCGCTTGGACGCCGGCTCTCTCGCCTCTTCCTCCCCTCTCCACTCTCGAATCCCCCATGCGGCCGCGCCGTTGAGCGCCCTCTGCCGGGCGTTTTTGCAAGAGTTTTTGTTGCTCAGTTTTTCTGTTGGACTATTTTTTCCTAACGCCCTGGCTTTTTTGTTATTTATTTCAAGGAACTGCCCTCTTGGTTTGGACTTATTATAAATAAACTGTTTTTCGCTGAAGCCTGCATCTGTGTCCGTGTGGTGTGCGTGACATTCTGAGACTATACTTGTGAAAATATATGTAAAAACGTCTGTCAAATCCATCTGTACCTGATTATGGTATTGTGGTCAGAATCCGTTATTTCACTAATTACTGCCTAGTTTTTTCAGTTGTTATCTGCATACAGGGTGTTATTTGCTGTTTACTCCTCAGACCACAGTCAAATAGCAAGTTAACCTACAATTAGCTTTGAGCAAGAAATGCGGCCAGGATTCCTATCTACAGATGGCTGAAAGTGACCATCAGTTGTTTTTAAGGTAGCAAAGCTGTAGTAAATTGACTTGTCTTACCTAACAGCAACAAACAATAGGTATGGCATGATGGTAACAGACCTCAAGTTGTTTCTTGCACTTTTCCCAGGCATTAAGTTTCCATTTTCTGGGAGTAGAAAGAAGCATTAGAGCCTCAGGTCTTTGGGAAATAAGCTGAGAAGAGAAGAAAGGGCACAGTGTAGAGTGAGAAGTAAAGGGACAGTTTGTCTCGTGGTGTCGATTGGACTGGGTCCGAGAAATTGGGAGGAGTTGTCCAGCTGAGTGAGTGAGTCCAGAGACTGTACAGCCACCAAAGCCCATTCTGCTGCTTTCTGTTTCAGCCTGTCTTTGCATGTCTCATCCAAACCTTGCACAATATTTTTAACTTGAAACATGACCGTTCTGGATCCTTACATACATTTTGTGACCAGTTTTATTTTAGTTTCATCGAGATACTATTACAGTTTTTATTAATATTTTCAATTAGTTTTTATTTTTATATTTTCCATGATTATTTTAATTTAGTTCAAATGTAAGTAATTTAGTTGTTTTTGTCATTTTTATTAGTTTTTGAATATGTATGTGTAGTTTTATTATTATTATTATTCCAGTTTTACTTATTTTAAAATGAGAAATCTTTCTTTGGCAACTAGCTGATTGATTGATTGATTGATTGATTGATTGGTTTTTGTCCATACTATGAATGTCAGTGGGGTCCAGTGTTATTTGAACCCCAGTGACTTTTAAAATACTTTGTGTTCCACAGAAGAAATTGTACAGTTTTGGAACGCCATGAGGGTGAGCAAATAATGACAGAATTTTAGTTTTGGGTGAATGGTTTCATCGTTATCATTCCCATAACAGCTGAGCTTCTTCTAAGTTAACTCCAACTAACCAAACAGTCACAAATTTACCAACCCTCTCCCCCGATGATGTGCTTAGCCCCTATATTAAAAACCAGCCAACTAGCAACCTCATTGTGCATGTGATAAAGTTTCCTTTGTGAGACAAGGGCTGATATTGCAACATGTTTTAATATCGACTAACAAAAGTGTTTTGTGGAGCCCCCGAAGGGAAGAGGTGTTGGCTTTTTCAGTGCAGCTTTTTATGGGCAGGCCGGCAGAATGCGCTGGTGGCTCTTTGTCTGCCAGGGAAACCCTAGCCGGGAGGTGCGGGCTGAGCACAGCGCGGCGGCATCGGATAACCACGCATTTCCTCTCCTGCTATTTACCAGCCTTTTGTTTGTTTGCCGAATGCGAAATATATACATGTCGCCAGATCAGATCTGCTTTCCACATGTTGCCCCTCTCTTTGTTTTATTTTTTATTCATCCTCCTCCTCCTCTTCTCCTCCTCTTTCTCCTCTGCCTTTGCAAACTCTTCATGCGCTGTCAAAAGTCTGTGCACATGTTCTGGAATATTTCTGACTGAATTTGATAACCCTCTCAGAACTGTTCAGATATCATTTACATAATGCAATCTATTATTTAGGAGGTAGAACGCTTGCATTTGTGTGCCAACATTGTAGAAAAGGTGTTGTTATTGGTTTGTGATGAAGAGAGATGGGTAAGCTTGAGATGACCTAAAGGTCATGTTGTTGGTGTTCGGTACATGAGACAGTCAGTATGTTGAACAATAGCAGTTCTGAGATCAGCTGTACTGAATTTCCAAAATGTTTCTTCACTATAACAGAATGATACAGTACAGCGGGGTCCAAAAGCCTGAGAATGAAGTGAAAAAACTGCACTAGGTTCCAAACGGTTTTCTATAGCACGGTCATTTTACAAGAAAAAGCTTCAGTGACTTAAACAGATTGGTTTTGTACACTGGTTACAATCATTTCACTGTTTCAGATGGTTGTTTTCTTGAAATGGTTTGTCATTTGTATATATCCAATATTTCAATTTATCCTTCAAATGCGATTTAAAAATGTATGTACTTAAAGAGATGAAATAATCAATTCAGACTCATCTTATTTTCAAAGGGGAGGTTTTTTTTGTTCCTTCTTTA